TCTATACAATTGGGATATGGACATGCGTTTCAAAATTCTCCCAAGTGTCTGGATGGTGGAAAACACTTTTTTTTTTTGCCTTTACTTGTGAAAAAACTCTTGTTCCCAAAGTTATTTAGAGATATTTGATAGGAATTTCCAATATTTGGTTCTAGGCACCTTTGGACAGGTAAGGAAAAAATAATGGCCAGGGACCATTCTCTCGAAATTCTGCAGATTATGAGGAAAGATTTCTATTGCTATAGGGTTTTATCTTTGAAGATAGCCTCAGTATATTGGGTATTCAGAAAGTTCTGCTGTCTCTAATGGGTTATCTGTGTCTATCTTATTTAAATGAGATTTTTATATGACGTTAGGATAACAGTTCCTAGACCAGTGATGGCGAACCTTTGAGAGACCGAGAGCCCAAAAACCGCCCTGCCCTGCCCTGCCCCCACCTCTCCTGCCCGCAGGGCCACCCACCACCTTCACAGCCCGCCACAGCAGATCGCCCAGGTGGCCCAGCATGGCGGCCATGCCCTCTGTCCGCGCCCCACAGCATCATTTGTATGCGATGGGGCGTGAGGGCAGATTCTTGTCCCTGCTGCCCAGCTGCCATGTCCTTGGCTGTGCTGCTCTGTGCAGGCTGTGACCGGGGCGACTCTCCTCCAGGGGGGCTGCTGGTGAGGGGGCCACGGGGTGGCAGGCTGGGGCGATGGTGTGCGTGCCCACAGAGAGAGCTCTGAGTGCTGCCTCTGGCACTCGTGCCATAGGTTCGCCACCACTGTCCTAGACAATGTACATACAACTTTAATTTCTTTGAAAGACCACAGCTTTGTGGTGAATCTGGAAAAGAACATGTTAAGAACATTGCAATGTCTAGAGCATTTGGATATAGTTCTGGACACTAGCTAAGTCAAGGTTTTTCTGAATACAAAGGTTGGGCAGAGTATAATGAGATAACAAGGTCTGGTGTCTTGGTTATCAGAATCAAGAAAAGTGTCAAAAGGGTTTTGAAAGAAGTGGCAATAATTAGTTGTAAGGCTCATCCATTCATTACTTAGAAAGTAAATTGGACTTCATTTTGGGGATTTCCCCTTTGAGCTCTTCTTGCACATAATCTAAGTTTTTGTGGTTGGGAAAGTATGATGAAAGTGTATGCAAGTTGGGAATACAACCACCATGGGGGCATCAAAGCACATTCAGAGGTTGCAGCTTCAGCAACTTTTGAGACAAATTCTTTTAATAGAAAAGATTTGTAGAAATGTGATTTGGAAGTCAGTACATATCTTTACTAAACATTATAAAACCAATAAAAGTACAAATGTGTTTTCCAGTGGTAATGTAGTCAGCATTTTAGAAACCTTCCTGAGGGGATATTGCTCTGATATATCCTCAGGTTAAGAAATGTAGTACTCCATTTGTAATCAACTATTCCTCAAAGAATGTTTTCTTACATATTATTTCCAGGGCAACATCCCACGTGTACTGGTAGATTTGATTTCTGCTTCCTAAGTCAAGTTTGTATTTATGTTAAGTGTTATTCTATAATATCTGATCCATTTTAACTGAGCAATAGTATTTTAAGTTTTCTTTGTTTTTAGATGATTTTGTGTTAACAAAATTCAATAAACATTCTCTATACTTTTGCATCCAAGCTATTAATATAAATTTTGAAGAGTAGGGCTGAATGTTAGCATCTATTCAATACCTCATTCCATGCATGAAATTTTTGAGCTATCAATATATCTACTAGTTATTGGCATTCATCCCACATTCAGCTAGCTTTCTAATTAGAATGCTATATTTTATGGTAGTCTGCTCAGGTGTGTACTAACATCAAGATACATTGTTATGTATAGCACTCCCATGATATATTAGGAAGATTATCTAGTTCTTTAAAAATTGATCAAGTTAGTTCATTGTGATTTCTCTATTAATTATTATGATATGGCCAGACCACTAGCAAGTTCCTTCAGCATTCTAAAATGCAATTGATGCAGTCTGGAAATTCAAATCAGTATTCCTTGACCGTGTCATTCCAATTTTTGAATCCTACTTCTTATTCCGTTCATGTGCTTTTTATTATTCTTAACCTCCTTTGGCAACTTCATTCTGAGGTTTAGCTTTCCTGACTTCAAGTTTCAGGACATTTATAAACACTTATCAAGGAAATGACCTAGGCTTCTTTCCCTATGTGTGTCTCTTTTTTTTTCCTCCAAATTATTATTAAAATTTTTTGTTGTGCAGCCATATTGATTTCTTCTGTCTTCCTTCCCCACACATACTGGAGTTGTTTGTAATTATGCTTTAATATTTTCTTTCTTAGGAACTCCTTTTTTAGGAATTCTTGCCTTCTTTGAGTGCCTCCCCCCCATCCCATCCTCTGCCATGAAATTCTACCTGTCATTGCACTTATTTTATTAACATTATTTAAAAAAAAAGATATCTGTTGAACTTAAGCCAGCTTTCATTTCTCCTAAAACCAAGAAGCCCCACGTTACATTGTCAATCCCCCCCCCCCATGTTCCTTCTTTTTCCACATCATTGATTATTGCAGGATAGAATAAAGTCAGGCATAGCTGATAACCTTGTGACTTCCTCAGTTGCCTGAAGGTAAAAATAGTCACACAGGAATTTTTATTTGGCAGAACTTTTCTCCCTTCAGAATCAAGGCATTTAAAATCCCCCCGCCCAACTCTATTCGTGTCTATTTTGCTTTTGGAAAGCATGTCTGGTACTCATATCTGAAGATGTCCTGGTATCTTGAATTGTTCTACTATACATAGAAGACTTTATATGAAAACCTAGCGTGATCTTATCAAAGTTAGGTGCATAAACAAGACTAGTTAGAATCTTCTGTCCCTGCCACATGCAATTTTCAAGGGTATCTGGAAATACCTAACACACTCATTCAGTCATGGTTGGTGAAGCAACTCTTAATTAATAAGTATAGCTTTATCAAAAATGAAAAAGGGAGGATTTACAAGCTTGACTACACAAAAGAGAATAAAGATTTTTATATGAAATTGGAAGAAACAGAATTGTACCATAATAACTACTGTGTTATCTGCTACTAACCTCTAGCAAGGAACATTCGTGCTTCTTTCTACAAAAGCTCAATGTACTGGCTATGATCTCTTTTGTAAATACACTGGATTATTTGGGATTAACACTTTAGGCAACTAGGCAAGGGCCACCTACTTACCAGGAAGTGACGAAAGCCCTCCAACTACTTTATGTAATTGAACCTACAAGACCAGCATAGCCTTCTAATCTCAGATTAATTTTTTATGCCAAACATATGTCTATTTCAGGCAATGAGAGAAATCCTACTGATATAGTGTTGATTAGTAACCAGTCTGCATGCAGAAACATTTTTAAAAAGCTATGCGTTGGAAGTCAATGCTTTCTACCTGACAAACCATTTTCCCTATTTAACACTGTAAGTTGTAGATTTTCACTGTATATTTGGGTCAGAATGAACCACTGCATAGTTTATGGAATTAGCTGTTTTGTGTCCAGTATTTCATCCTCCAACACCATTATTTGTTTTAGCTCTTTGGAAAAATGTGGGTGTGCGCAATTTTGCAAACATAGATATAGAAATGTAATTCAGCTCTGCATTTTTCTGGACTTGCTGAATTCTCTTGCCATTTAATTGTTCAGCCTTTTCCCTAGCCAGCACTGCCCTCTATTCAATTGTATATAATAATAATAATAATAATAATAATAATAATAACAATAATTAATAATAATAACAATAATTAATAATAATAATAATAATAATAATAATAATAATAAAGTTGGAAGGGACCTTGGAGGTCATCGAGTCCAACCCCCTGCTCAGGCAGGAAACCCTACACCATTTCGGACAAATGGCTGTCCTGATTGTAATGTTATTGCTGATACTGTGCCTTAAAATCATTTTTATAATTCCTGTTCTGCTCCATTTCTTTAATGGAAATATGGATTCCTTTTTTTCTAACATTTTTTTTTTAATTTTTTTTCTGACATAATTTTGTTAATCAAGAAAGTGGCTTCCTGGGCTACTGACTGTATCCTTAACGTATTACTGTATATGCATTTTGTTAGAGCTTCTGTTATTAGCAGCTTTCAGACATCCTGAAACTTTTTGGAGAGTTTTTATCCTTTTGATTTTTTTTAATCTCTTCCACTACTCCCTTGTAAGCATTCTTTTTTGTTTGCTATATAACATATATCACTAGTTTGGGAGGTCATGTCAGCAGACAGGAACTTCTGAAAGTCCTAAATACTTTTCAACTTTCAAGATTATTTTCCTCCATAAAACTGGTTAGATTATCTTGGATAACATTTCAATAAGGTACTGTATTGACTAATATGGCGAACCATATGGTAGGATCCATTTGATTTATTGCTGATTCAATGGAATGGTTTTCCTACTTTTATGAGACACTTTTTCATCACTGTTAACTGAACTAGCTATTTTACCCATCTTTGTCAAATAGAGGCCAGGAAAAATAAGTTG